TGTTCCGCGTTGTCTTCAGCCTGATTATCCACCAAATCTGGCGCTTGCCTCTTGCAAGGATGCTCTTTTAAAGCACTGCTTTTCCTAGCAGGGTTCCGTTAACACTGTAATGAAGACCAGCCTTCAAAGTGGCTTTTTTGTTTACAACAGGAGAAGGAAAGGACAACCATGCAGAGTTAATATGAATGTAGTGGAGTTAGTACGAGCAGAGAAAATACCTTACTGCTAAGTAGAGTTACGGTACAAAGCGTGTGCTTCAGTACGCATGCAAGTTCTGCACTGTTTCCTGTTTGCTGTTGTTTTGAAATTTGCAATGTAATTTCACGTTTAGTTGCCTCGGGGTGGATGTGCGAACTGTTAACAGTGCGTGTTAGCGCTGGTTTGCCATGTACTCTGTATAAAACTGGAGTAAATAATTTTATTGCTATTATAGTTTTTCCTTCTGCAACCAAGAAAAGGTTGGTTAGTTTTGCAATACAGCTACATCTGATGTGCATGAATAGCTACAGCTCTGTGTGTGGGTGCATCTGCGTGTACGGATCTAATTTAACCGGAGTAAAGCGTGATCCAGTAGCTGCTTCTTTATTTCCCTCAGAAAGCTGGTGCTACCCATGGAGCTGGTAGGATGGGAGACTTTGGATCTGGCTATTTCCAGGAGAGGTGCCAGGATAATACAGTGCTCGAGAGAGCGGGTTAATGGTATCTCAGGCTGAGGAGGAGGGAGCAGCCAGCAAAGTCAGCATCTTCAGAGAGCTAAACTCTGGGCTTTGGAGATGGGTTTGGACAGACAGATTCAGTATTGTTTAGCCCAAGGGAGAAATGTCAGCAGGGATTTAGTCTGAGATGTCATGCTAAAGCATTCCTTTTCTTACCAAGTATTTAGCTTCACAGATGGTTATTTTTGTCTTGTTTAGGAGAGCAGTATTTTACAGTAGCCAGATCTGATGGGAAGCATTTTGAACAGGAATGCATGTAAAATCAATAACTCCTCCTCGACTCCAAGCCCCTTGGTTCCCAGTACTGCTTATGAAACCTAGAAACAGGAAGGGTGGTGAATCCTCCGGGTTTGTTTTGAACGCACTGCCAGATTGAAACATCCAGACCTTTTAACTTAGCACCAAGAGCAAGTTGTTCCTCCACACTTGAATTCTGGGCTTTCTCTCGTACCAGACTGTAATTGCTACTGTGACAGGAGCACGCTGAGCTTGCATGGGAGAGAATGAACAATGCCTCTAAAGTGGCGTTAATTACTATGGGGAAAATTAAGAGCAGGTGCTGGAGAGGTGAATCTGCGTGAAGTGATCACCCTCTGTTAATTGTGATGAATTGTTTATATCTCGGAGAAGGAAGCTTGGTAAAATAAGACATTTGAGACTTTTCTGTTGTCAGAGGGTGCCAGTAATGAATCAAATGGTTTTTCATTGGGGAAGGTGTGATCGTAAATACTGAGATGTGGATAACTGATGTCTCTCTAATTCTGTCCTATGCTTCTTCTCTGCTGCTCCTTTCCCTAGCTGCTGTCTGCTCTGCAGTATGTGTTGAAGTTCCATCGGAGACTGAGGCCGTCCAAGGAACGCACATGAAGCTCCTTTGCATCTCGTGCATGAAGAGGGAAGAGGTCACAGCCAGCACGGTGGTGGAATGGTTCTACAGACCGGAGGGCGGAAAAGATGAACCTGTATGTATGTTTGGTAGCTGGGGCCTTGGTTCCATAAGTCTTACTGTGAAACACACAGTGAACTCATGTGAGAGAAGCCAAAAGGAATTTAAGAGAGTTTAAGTTTGTCCTGCAGCAGGATCCTCGAGAAAGACTATGAGGGAAGGAGAGACACCCAAATGGGAACAAAAGCTTTCTGCCACATTCTCACTCAAAGTCTATAGAAATGCCTGGCAGGCTGCTTTCACATCACGGAGGAGAGGCAAGCTTGGAGTTCAGCTTCAAGCTGCAGATCTTCACAATTTTTGCATCGTTTTCACCTGGAGGTTCCACAGCACCAAGTTTGAGCAGAAATAAAGTGTCTTTTCCTCGCTTAGCTGATTTCCACGCTCGGGAATAGGATCCTAGAGTTTAGTTCCATTGCTGATCTTTTGTGTCATTATCCACATGTGCGTCTGTTTTTCTGTGCCTTGGGTTTTCTTCTTCTGCAATGGAGATAATTCAGTTTTCTGTCTTTTGTGAAATAGTCTGAGATTTTGAGGTAAAGGATGGTAGAATATGAATGGCTGCTGTTACTAAGGAAGCCATAGCCCAGAGCATGTGTGTGTGTGTAGCTGGAGGATGATGTTGTTCCTTGCATGTGCTGTGTTGCTGTCCAAGATACAAGTCCGTGATTAACTGGAACATCCCTTTATGTTTCCTCACAGATCTATGAGCACAGGAATATGAACCATGAATTTCCAAGCCGCTTCAGTGGTCGGATACAATGGAATGGGAGTAAAGACATGCAGGATGTATCCATCACTGTGTTAAACGTGACCTTGAATGATTCGGGGATCTACACCTGTAACATCACGCGGGAGTTCGAGTTTGAGATTCACCGCCCTGTCTTCACAAGCTCCAGAGTGATCCACCTCACCGTGGTGGAGGAAGGTAGGAAGCGTTGGCAGAAAGCGTGTCGTGCCTTAACTTGCCGTGGGTGTTGTCATCTGGGGGTATGGTTGTTCATTGCACTGCAGGAGAGGAGTGGCTGAGCTGCCAGATAATTGTGTCTGTCTTTGCCAGCAACAAACACTACACTGGGTTCAAGAGGAAAGACCTGCATTGTGTTTGCTGGCTGCAGCCTCTTAGGTTTACAGCGGCTGTGTAAATGTGAGAAGGTACAGTCATCTTGGCAGGGTTGGATGACAGCTGGGAACAGCTGGGCAGGCACAAGCAGCAAGCAGAGGTTTCCAGTTTCTCTGCTCAGAACCCTGGCTTCTCCGTGGCAGCTCTCAGATGCTACAGCACAGCCTTTGCCAGGGTACCCGCAGCATCTGCTTCTTTGCTTCCGCCCCCTCCCTCCTGGAACGACTCATTCTCCATTTTGATATCAGTCTCTTGCTTCCACCCTCTCCCAATCCCTTGCTCTCGAGTCTGTCTGTTCCTCTTGGTTTTGCTCAGTTCAGTGCCGAAACCTTGGCTTGTTTGTTAGACGTCAGTGGGAATTCTGCTGTTCTCTTCAGAGAGGGACAAGAGCTTTTAGCCCTCACCTTTTTCTTCCGTGTCTTCCCTTCTTCCCCACAAGCATCTCTGTGTTTTGATCTCTTTCAAATCACTGGTGGCACAACAAAGTCAGATAACACCAGTGAGTAGGACACACAAAGGAAACAGAATGCGAAGGTGAGATAGGTTAACAGTGAGCAATCTGTACGAATGTGTGGGTGGCGGGGAATGCAAGACACATGCAAACCTGTGCGTGTTTGACTCCGCTGGCAGCATGCAGTGGGATCGCTGCTGGTATGTCCTGTTGGCAGCAGTTCCCTGGTTTTTAGCCTCCTCGCTGTGTAGTGGTGCCTGGGTATCTCTGGCAAGGTGGGCTAGGAAGGATGACAAGAGGAGGGAAACTGTCAGTGGAGCTGCTGTGCGCCAATAGCTGCATGTAAATGATCAGAGATTATTTCATTTTCTTAACAGCTGGAGAAGACTTCACCTCGGTCATCTCTGAAATTATGATGTATATTCTGCTGGTCTTCCTCACCTTGTGGCTACTGATAGAGATGGTCTATTGCTACAGGAAAGTCTCCAAGGCAGAGGAGGCCGCCCAGGAAAATGCGTAAGTGTGAAATCTCTCCAGATGCGAGCTGTTCTGCGAGGGCTTTTCAGATGTCTCAGTCCAGAGCAGACTGCAAGACTGAACTTTGCTATTGCACATTTCTAGCTGATTTTTGCTGTGTCTCAAATCACTGCGACGTTTAGGAGCACCACAAGAGACGGTGCACTTGTACAATGAGGGTCAATGCGGCAGGCAGGGAGCGTGGCCGAGGTGTGTGGTATTCCAGAGTGTCCCGGTTTGAACTGTGCAGCGATGCTCTCCTGGAAGGGCCGTTTTCAGGATCTGACTCACAGATGCAGTTGGCACAGCAGAGATGTTCCAATTTTTGTACTGGCCTATTCCCATCTTTCTATATACTTGGCTTGGATACGGGTGCTCTTTGTGCATGGTAGGAAGGCTGTATGCATAGGATTGTGCAGTAGGGAAGACTCGGAGTCTGCTTCTGACTGTGCCGAGGAGTTTCCTACTGTGAGCATCTTCTACACGTGACATTTGTTGCCTCAGAGATACTTGTAGGCATTTAAATAGCTCTGTAAGAGTGAATGGACACAAGCTGGTTTTTGCACTGTAGCACTTGGGGTTATGCTTTCCTCCTTCCCTCCAACTACAGGACAGACTATCTCGCGATTCCATCAGAAAACAAGGAAAACTGTGCCGTGCCTGTGGAGGAATAGCAGAGAGGAGTCGGCGATCGAACGGCACTAAGGTAGGCCATGAGGAAACAGTCATTGTTTCATGTTTGTGTCTGTCAACCTTTCGGCCTTACTTCTGTGGGTTGGGCAGGCACGATCTCCAAAGGAAGCGTCGGCTAGGAAGGACTCCACATGCAAAATACCAAAATCTACATCTTTTGAAGTCTTGTTCACGTCCTGCCAGTTACCGTGCTAATTATGTCATGATCCTCGCGTCGGTAAGGTCAAATGACTCGCACCAAAGAGGAATTCTCTCCCTTGCAGGGGCTCTGAAGACAGAAGGACCGTGTCACGCCAGCCAGGTTTGAGGGGGAGCTCTGCGCCGTCGGGAGGAAGGACGGGGGAGTGTAAACTCTCTTCCATTTGCCTTGGACTCTGTACAGCCTTGACTTTGGCCTCATGACTCCATTCTGAGCTGCCAGCCCATTTGCTGAAGGACTCTTCTTTTGAAGCATGCTGAGCAAAGGGCACAGGGGTGTGGGCAGCACAGCTCCTTCCCAAGTGTCAGCCCCATCATCACTTTAATGGCTTTGTAAATGTTAAGTGTAATTTCTTAGCTGCTGTCACCACCTTTATTTATTTGCTAAATATGCTAGTTCTCCATTGCAGAGGTAAAGGGTATGTATGTCACGTTGCTCTGACCTGCAGGACTGGGAATGAGGTCATTTTAAGGTGATGTTCCACCGTAGGTTACAGTCTTACTGGTGTTAAACAGGAAGAATTTATAATTAACTAGTTGCTGCCCGGTAAGTTGCTCTGGACCTTGGGCTGCCTGTGCACAGGCAGAGTAGCATGGGGACTGCGATGCATTAGAGTTGTTGAAAACGAGTAGTAGGAAAAATGAGTCCCTGTGCCATGTTCACACTTGCTTCTGAAGGAGGGAACCGAGACTATAGATCCTGAAGTTACTCCTACTTCGGGAGGCAGAACGATGTAAGTATCCCAATCCCCTGTGCCCTTCTCTTGATTTAGCAAGTGTCAGAATTCTCAGTTCCCCCTGCCTCGCACAGCAGCTTTCCTGCTCAAGCGCGCAGAGCCGCAGCGCTAGGAATAACCTGCGGAGCTGCGTTCTGCAACAACAGGCAAGCCAGCAGGACGAGGTACGGGGTTCACGTGCGCCCGGGGAAATCCCTGAAAGGAAGACAGCCTGATGCACGTAGGCAGACGCAAAGTAAATAGGATGCTCAGCCCTCCCAGGAAAAGGCCAGCCAGCTCTGAAATGGCAGTACGTTTGGTAACCGTGACACCCCTCTGCTCGTGCTGTCGTGTAGCCCCACCTAGGGGAACAGACAGCAAAAACTTCT